ATATTCTATCATAAGAATATTAGATATTTTTTTCCATTTTGCTAACACTTTTTCCATTTCAAATGTTCCGCAGTCGAAGATCTTGGAAAAAATTACTGCATAACTCGAACAAATTGATTTTTAAGACATTTGTTTTTTCTAAAAAAATAATTAAATTCCGAAAAAATAATTTTTCCAGATTAAATATTTTATTGGTCAGGATTTTATAATTTAATAAAAAAAAAATTGATGAAATTTGTCACCGATTTCGCAATCTTCAAATATTTTCTCTGCATATTTAAAAGTATAAATATAAAAAACATAAGTCCTTTCTCTGACATTGCAGTTGATGTCTGGGTGAATTGTGCTTTTGCAGCTGTTTTTTATGCCAAAAAAAATTCTATCCTTTTTTTTTATCAAATATATGACGAGGGTGATTGGTTTATTTATTGCTAAATTGAGATAACGGAGGGAAATTTGGGTATTGAGTAAGGTCGTGATAACAAACTCATTTGATAACGAGGCTGTTATGAAAAAACTTTTTTTTCTTTATTTAATAAATTTTGACATAAAAGTTTATTTTACCAAATAATATTTTATGAACTTGAAATATTATTTTCAGCAAGAAATTTAATTTTTTTTCTATAAAATTTTCACTTAAACAAGAGTTTACATAATTTTAACAGAAAGTTAAATTCTTAGAATGAAAATATAAAATTTTTCAATCATAAATTTTCCAATTTTTTTTTTTATTTATCGAACATTACTACTCTATGATTAATAAAAATTTCCTCTTTTATCAAAATACACTCTAGACATGATTAAATAATACTTGAGAGAAAAAAACTGTAATCAAAAAATTTAACAAATAAATTACTTAATCAATGTCATAATAATCGGTACCGAGATTTATTTGATAAGAATTATGTAATTAGTTTTTAATCTGGTATTACGAAAAAAAAAAAAAAATTGTGATATTAATTTATAAAAAATTCAATAATTACTTTTTTCATGTTAATTAATTACATTGATAAGAATAATAAATTAAAAATAATTTTTTATTATAAATAAATCATCGAACGCGTTTTGAATTTAGCTAATTTAACAATGTAGATGAGATTTTTTTAATTTATAATTACATTGAAAAATAATGGATAGGAGGAGGATTATCATAAAACTCATGATCACAATTATTAGATCAATGTCAGCGTTTACTTATCTCTAATTGAGCGAAACGATTGTTATTTAATACTTTTAAATTGCTATTAAAATAAAAATAGAAATATATATTATTTATAAATAAGCAATCAAAAAACAATTTGCTGGGAATAAATGTTACATCGATCTTTTAAAAACTAACGTAAAAATAGTGTTACAAAATGTTAATAAAGTTCTCATCTGAACTGTTGCTAAACAAATGTTAATATATATTATGTTAAATTTATTGCTGGAGCTATTGCTATTACTGATACTAATACTAATACTAGAAATTACTAGCACAGTGCAGTCTAGTGTACTGTGCTGCAGAGATCGCTAGTTCATCTTACGGAATAGATTACTCGGTTACGTAATTACTACAAATATGATATAACCTCAGAGTCACATGGGGTAATAATTCTGTATACACATATGATACTTAGACATTGAGAAGCGATGTATTATGATTAAATTCTCTAACACACACTATCAATCGTATCACACTATCCGTTTAACTTTTTTATTGCAGGAGATTGTTAAGACCAAGTAACACTTTATCAGAATTAAAATTTTTATCAATATAGTCATAATTAAATTATTTCAAAAAAATTATGAATTCTTGTTTGTAAGGGATTAAAAATTTTTGACGTCTTAATCTGAACTTGAATAATTTTCGAAAGAGTGAATTTATCTAAAAGTTATGAGACCTTTTTTTGGAGTAATATGTGACGTTTTTTTTTTTTTGATACGTTACTTGTAAGATGAGATATAAAATTCTAACGTTTAATAAAATATTTTACAATGTTATTTACCGAAAAATAATAAGTTTTCATTTTATTTATAACTTGCGATTATCAATATCAAAAGCTCAAATTTTAGTGAGGTTCTTTGTATTCGAATTTTTTGACAAGATTTCATGACAATTGAAAAAAAAAATTTTTGTATTTTTTTTTGTACATCTTAATGGATTAATATTGTATGAACTTCTGAGCTGATGTTCTTTTTTGACGTAATTCGACGTAGAAACACTTCTAGTCAAAATGATTTTTATTCTATAGAATAAGTTATAGGGTAGAAGTACCGTTTTTGGCCACCTTAGCACTGTTTTTGGCCAATTAACATTTAAATTAATTTATAAAAAATTATAATATTATAGCCATATTTTTGTTGAGTTTGTAATGGTTTATTAATATAAATTCATTTCTATCGTTTATTTGAACAATAAGTGGCCATAAACGGTACAGTGGCCACAAACGGTACTTCTACCCTATATAACTTTAGACTTCAAATTTAACTTTCTTGTAAGGAGATAATTCAGCGATCATGCGCTTTCTATCGGAGATTTTCAACATATTCTTTGTTTGAAAAAATATATATAAACATATTAGGTCTAATTTGAGCGTATTAAGTCAAATTAAACTAGATATGTCTATATATGACTTGATATGGCCAATTTCTATAATAGGCCATATACAAACATATCAGGTCACATTAAAAAATTTTTCTCGGATTTTAATAGCAAAATTTTCTGTAAATATCAATAAGTACTTCTACAACAGGCTGATTTCTAAAGAACTTTGCCTAATAATTATGATTCTTACATCGTAATTTCATTACCGTGTGTTAATACCTCAATTTTATTGTTCTGAATTTTCCATTCTGGATATTTTGAAACTCGTATTAAAATAAAATAAAATTGATTATTGAGTAATACAATTTTAATAATAGTTTTTTAAGAGAATGTACCTGGATTGTGAACAAATACATTTAAACAAGCTTTGTTAAATGAAGTGACACAAAAAATGAACATAAATAAATTTAAAGGCAGCGGAGTAAAAATGATAGAAGTATCATTAGATAATAAAGTTGTATTGTTTATTATTGTAAACAGTAATGACTAATATGTATATACAAAGATAAAAACATTGAGGATGTTGAGAAGCATCTTAATAAATGGTGGCATTGCCACAAATAAAATGTAGGTTACTAGAGCAATGGTTGTAGTGCAAAGATTCCGTTCGAAGGTCCTCTCTGTGTCAGAAAATCGAACTTGTACGTATGTATAACGACACAAGTTAAGAGCAAACCGATAAAATATAACATATAACTGAATATTTGCTTGTCTCGTGGTCAGAGATAGCACTAACAAGGGCAAAATTACTGTCGCGGCGTTTAATTTTAAAAAAATCTTAAGTAGGCCAAGAGCACTATTTATTACGAATCATTTCGTTGGAGCGTTAAGACATCAAACGTAATATTATAACATTAGAATTTTTTATTATTATTATTATTATTATTATTTTATTTTAATACAATAACTTCACTTATCAATTCTCGACCGGTCTATTACTCACCATTTGTTTATGACAAGTTTTAAATTCGCTTTATATAATCGCTCTCTTTGTGTTAAGTAATCGTTAATTAGATGGTATTTGCAATACATCTTTTTCGTTTAAAATGTGTTTTTCATAGAGTTTCTCATAAAAACTTCTATTTTAAAACTGTAATTTTTCTTTTTTTCGTGTCATAAAAAATTTTAAAGTTAGATGATTTTGCACAATGATTAAACTTCCAGTTTTGCTCATTAAATTTATTCAGAATTTATAAAATAAAACAGTTTTTTTGACATTGATAAATGTTAAATTACATCAAAATACATCGCTTTAAAAATTAATGGCATCAGAAATAACTTAATATTTAACAGAATTTCGTATGGTAAGAAAGTATTCAATAATTTTTAAATTTCGTATTTATTGTCATCATAAAACAATGTTCATTTTTGCTTGATGAGACTTAATTTTTTATATTACAATTTCTTAGGACATGTAGAAAAGAGTTAACAAAATATGAAGGACATTTTAGGTCTTCGTTTCTAATTTGGAAAACTCGTAGAAAAAAAAATACAACTTTCATCTTAAAACAGTATAGCTTCTACATTTTTAGAAATATTTTCTAATAAATGAACAAAATTTTGATTAATTTGAACAGAGCTCTAAGCCTAGACTGTTCAACGACATGAGGAATTTGAATCATTTGAAACTTCTGATGTTCCATTGAGAAAATGGTTTTTTGTTGATCAGTCCAATCCCGCTTGGAAAAGGTTTATATGTTTCAAAATATACGATTAAATATATTGATATTATAATGTGATATATGGAACGATATATAAAATCGTATCTATAATTTTGCCACAATAATATTGTAAATAAATATATCATTCTCATGTATAAACCATATTCATCAATATATTTGCTTCATGCATGGACGATCCATACGTGTATCGGTACAGCTTTCTATATATTGATACCTTATACTTAAAATAATGTATCGATAAATATATTGTACATGATATATTATATACGGTTTTTATGTATTTGTTAATATGGCAGATGATATATACTAAACGATATATAGATCACCATACATTAATGAATACACTGAAAAAAAAAATTACCTTGAATCAAGAGAAAAATTCTTGAACCAAGAAAATAATTTTGAAGAGTTTCATTGTCTCGAATGAAGGCGAAAAATTTTTGAACTGAATAAAATTTACTTAAACCAAGAAAAATTTCTAAGAATTGTTCTACTAAAATCAAGAAGATGAAATTCTTAAAAATTATTTACTTGATTTAAGTAAACTTTTTTTTCTGTGTATATTATTTAAAATACATGGTTCCATATATAGAATAAAGTTATACTTTTCAATATAGACAATTTTGCCGCCATATATTCATCATTTATTTGCAATATATTGTATAATATATTTTTAACGATATATAGTATTATAATTGATAGATCGATCGAAACTCCTATTCCATCACGAATCACGAAAAACGCCATTTTATATTGGGGGCAAAATTAGAGTCGCCTACTTTATCAATTGCATTTTGAGTCAAAAATTCCATCAAAACAATAACGAGTCGACGACTCGGTTTTTTAAAATTTTGAGCAATCAAATGATTGATTGGCTTAATGCAAGAATATTCATATTTATAACCACCATCTTTTGAAATAGCACGTCGGCTGTGTTTACCATCGATTAAACTCATGTTGTTAACGTAACATTTTTCGATTCCTGAAAAACTTGCTCTAATCAAGTTAATAATGCTTTCCCATTTTTCCCTGAAATCAGTGATTGGACTTTCATATCTGTTAACGAAATCGTAATTTATATTGCACTCGCTTCTCAAGCTAAAAGCGCATCCGTAGAAGGCAAAGTCCAAGCTAGCCAGCAGAATTTTACCGCGGTGTTTTCCAATGGGGTCTTCAAGTGTCCAATTAGTGACAAAGCGCTTCCCGACGCCATTTTCCCGCAATGAATTGAGAATATCACAAAGTCCTTTAGTAACGTTGATACTCAAAGGAAACACTTGGGCAAAATGTACCATCACAATTTCGCCGGGATTGTCTTTAAGAAAGCGTTCGATTGGATCTAGTCCTTCTACTAAATCTATGCACGGTGTCTCTTCATCTAGGTAAACTGCTAATGACTTCGATTTCGGAATCACTCCGATGTCAAAAAATCTCACTCCATATTTTAACTGCTGGTCCATCGTGAGCTCCTGGGCTCGAGATTCTTCGAGGTTGGCCATGTAGGACAATGAAGAGTAGGAACCAATCAAAGCGAGATTGCGGATCTTCTTCGAATTCGGTAATCTTGTTAAAAACCTTACTCGTTTTGAGTATGGCTTGTAATCTATCTTTGAACAACTGCAAGCTTCTGATATATCGAAAAGGCACAGTAGGTGGATAAAAATTAGTAAGCACTTCATGAACATTATGAATTTTTTCTTAAAGAACATACTTTTAAAATTGTTGAAGACGGACCCGAGTTGAAAAAATTAACTTAAATGAACTTAACTGCTATACTAAAACAATTGATTTAATTAAGCTTATATAAGTTCATTTTTTCGACTCGGGGACTGTCTTTATGTCTTTATTATTTTTTAATATCAAACGGATGAGGACAGTTAGTATGCGGCCTAAAAATATACACAATTTTCTAATTGAAATTTATTAGGATACATAAAATTTTCAATAATTAGAACTGGAAGATAACAATTAATTCTCACTATAAATAAATTTAAAAAACAAGATAAAAATAATTACTGTAAGTAAAAAATTAATTAGTGACAAAAATATATACGGATAGAAAAAACAAATTCAAGGGGAAGCAAACTATAAAATTTATAAAAATATTTTTCTGTTTAATGGATGACTAATAATTTTTTTTTATCTTCTAGAAATTAAATTAGTTTTCATAGTTCATTGACTTTCGTTGATAGCTTGAGAATAGTTCTATACAAAAAAACAAAAGGCTTTAATTTAAGAACAAATACAAACTCACGCGTAAAAACATTATTCTGATATACAATTTTGATATGTTCATAAATAATTTACGACCAATAGAAGTCCTCAAAATTTCCGGCAGCGGGCGCATGATCACTAAATTTTCTCCATACAAGATGAGAGTTGCTTTAAGTTCTAAAATAAAAATGACGTTTGGTTTTTAATTTAATAAAATACTAAACCCAATGTTTATTTGATACGGCATTTTAACTAATGTACATATTCTAAAAAAAATAAAAAATTGTAAAATTACAATTAATGAATGTACAGTCTTATATGGCCATATATGACAAATACTTTAATTATGAATATTTTCTTGTTATGTTCATTAAAAAAAAAAAAATAATTTTAAGAAATTTTCTTATTGCTCGGAAAAAAAAAATTTTTATTTTTAAATATTATATTCGATTCAGAACAATTCTTACTTTATCTGTACAATGTAGAGAAGCACGTGCCTAATAAACGAATCTTGTATAATAAGTGGTTATGTTTAAAATCACGTTTTGCGATAGCATACAAACTTCCGTGACGTCTATAAAAATACAACAAAAGATGTAACATTTTCATTGACGTCACTCGTTACTAAATCGTGTTGTTGTCATTAAGAATTACAGATGCATACACGTAGTTCAAAGCCCGTTTTACTGTCATTGAATTTGCTTTGTACAACCAGAATTACCGAAATAGAATGATGTATAATTATTGGTTTATTCTTCGAAAAACTTATACAATTTTTTTCAGGTACTCTATTGTTTTACTTGGCTTCTTGAATAAATTACTTTTAATAACTCCGGCACAAAAAAAAAGTTGTTCGTGCATTCGACTGGACCCACCTACGGACATGTATTTCGACCCACTGAATTCGAATTTTAAATCCGTTTGGCCCGGTCACACTCCAAATTTGAGTAAAATGCAAAAAACGACAAAAAATTACGAAAAACTGCAATCACAGCGACGATGCACAAACAACTTTTTTTGTGTGCCGGTGTAATCGATCAATTGACTACAGGAATAGCTGTCTAAAAATAGATTGAAAAGGCCTGTAGTATCCCCACGCTTCATATTATCGCTTTAATTAATATCATTCTCCTCTTTTAGGGATTATCTTTAAGATATCTTTAGCAGATTCAATGCTTATTTATATACAAGTAATATACAACAGTTGATTGCCTGTTAATCATACATGATTAGATGATTACATATGATCTTATGAGAATTATACATAAATAAATCGCGTTACTGATGCCATAAGGGCGTATAAAAAATTTTTTCCGGGAATCGATGTAGTTATGCCTGAAACGGGCAAAAATGCAAAAAAATTTTGGTACGCCCTTATGGCACCCAGGGTACCTACCGGGAGCCATTAGGGCGTACTAAAATTTTTTTTTTCGGGAAACAACGGATTTTTACTTGAAACGCGTAGAAATGACGAAAAAAAATTTTTTCGCGTTCCAAGTAAAAATACGTTGTTTCCCGAAAAAAAATTTTTTGGTACGCCCTTATGGCTTCCAATAGGTACCCTGGGTGCCATAAGGGCGTACCAAAATTTTTTTTGCATTTTTGCCCGTTTCAGGCATAACTACATCGATTCCCGGAAAAAAATTTTTTATACGCCCTTATGGCATTTGTAACGCGAAATCAATTATATACGCATAAAATGTACATAGAAATTAAATACTTTCTTCATTTTTCGTAAAAACAAATTTTTTTTATCTGACTATGTCAGGCTCAATAAAAGAGTAAAAGAAATTGTTTTTGTAACTTTTAATTTTTGTATATTGTTTGAAAAAATTTTATACCAATTGTCATGATACCTGATTAAACTAAAAACCAATGACAAATGAGCTTTTTAATAGAGTCAAAAAATTTTATTATTTTTGAAATACTTTATTGATGTTATATCATGCCTTGATTCAAAATACAACATTTATTTTTATTATTTCATTTCATAATTCTGCACATCGGGTAATCGATGGAAAACGGTTAAAACAACTCTGATTAAAAAAAAGGGCTTAAAGACATTGTAAATAACGAAATTATAGTACTTTTGAATTCCTCCTCTTTAAGAGAATTGACATTGTAAATCGTTTTAAATTTTTTTTTTCTAACCAGAGAAAGTTTTTCGACATGATTGATATTATAATGGAATTTGGAAAGTTTTAAGACTTCAGATAAACTCAAAAATGAATTATTTGGACCGAAATTTTGGAATGTGTCTGATAAATTAGCCAAAAAAGTTGAAAAACTCTAAAATTTGTGATAATTCAATTTTAATTGTTTCTGATTTACGTTTTGTGTCATGAAGGAAAATTGACCTACATAAAATTACAGAAATATATGTTTCTCGTAACTATACTATGATTGTAGGGGAAAAAAAAATTTTGTTTCCTAAAATTCAAATTATTAAAACAAAAAAAAAATGCAACTGAAAATGTCAAGATCTTTTATGATCATTTAAAAATATTATGTTAAGAATTTGAGTTTAAAATTTAATATGAAATGTCAATTTTTATAAATTAATAACTAAAAATTTTCAAAATTTTTTTTCTGTAGCCTTGAATAACTCTTTTAAAACAATCAAAAATAGTTTTCGAGAAATTTAGAACAGAAAGTTGAAAAATTTTAATAATTTTTATGATGAAAGAAAACATTCAACGTAATTTTGTCCAAATTAATAGATGTCAATTTTAACTATTGGTAAGTTTGAGGTAGAACGACCCCATATATACATTCTAAACGTTCAATTTTGATGTAATATTTTGATTCGGGATAATAATTGAATAAATAAAAAAAATTCCATCGTATATATACTTATCAATTGGGTTAAATGTTTAGTAATAAAAATATTACATGCTCTTAAATTAATAATTAAGATATAAAATGAAAATAAATTAAAATTTATTACCCCTCGCTGTGAGATTATTGGTGAAAAAATAAGAAGAAAACGAAATAAAAAAAAAGTGTGTTTTGATCAGTCTTTTATTGTAACCCTGGAAGAAAGTGTACAGTAAATCATAAGCGCAACATACCCAAGTAGATAATAAGTGCATTCAGGCGTTAAATCGGGGCCGTTGAATGAACAATAATCGCGGACTTCGCTCTACCGTCAATGTAATGTAATAATAAAATACGTATTTAACGCAAGTTACTACAATAATAATAATTCAATTCCACACATCATTTGTTAAACATTTATTACTTATTGTTATTATACAAAGTATGCAAACCGCGACTTGGCTTCTCTTTTCTAACGCGACACTCAAGACCAACAAAACCAAATAAATAAAATATAATGATAATCGTAGTTAAGTGTTATATACCGTGTCATAGGCTTTACTTGGCATAATGATGATAAAGAGACAGACAGACAGTACATCGTTATACACGCGTGCATTTGCGTGTCATAAATAACAGCGAGGGAAGTGTTATTTTTAACTCAAACCCTATGGCGTAAATGGTAGAGCTTTCAAAATCTATCTCTTATATTATATTATACTTTTATTTATGTAAATTATATCTACATACATATAAGCTCTGTAAACTTACAACTATTCTTTCATATTTTCAATCGAGACATAATACTCGTTTGTTATTATTTTTTTTTTTTTAAATAAATGCAACTCGACTTTTAAATTTTCAGTTTAGAGTGCAGTTTAATAATAAATTATTATTTTTTATTCTTATAGTGCTTGAAAGAAAGAGGGTAAATTTAAGAATTTATATTCATTTTTAAGATTAAATAATATTTATAAAAAAAATAATAGTCGGTACGAGTTCTCGAATGCTAATAAAACGTGTGGCATGATGTACGCAATCGTTATTGCAATCACTCACTGACACTCTACACATTATCTTATCATTATAAGGAAATTACATTCCGCTTGTACTGCAATTTTGATCAATTTTTTTTGTCTACTGTATATGTATCCAAGGCAATGAATTTAAATTATACAGCTACTCATAATTATTAAATAATAAATTCGACTCTTTTTAATACTTTGTATGTAGTATCATCGATATTGGTAGAGGTTAAGTGAAAAATGTATTTATCGTGTATTTCATTAAAAGCTGAAGAATTTTTTTTTACTCAGAACATCTTCAAGAAGGCTAAAATTTTTGGTCAAAATATTTCTTGCTTCAGCAAATGATTTTTTGGTTCGATTAAAACTTTTTTTTCTGTGTTGAAAAAATAACGTTAAGCCAAAATATCTCTTGTACTTACAGAAGATTATTTACCTCGAAAAATTTTTTTTGGTTCTAGAAATATATTTTTTAGACAGAAAATTTTTTTATCACAAGCTAGATAATTTTTGGACTCGGGAAATTTTTTATGTTAATCAAACAGAAAATGTTTGCTTGAGTTCTCCATGAAAAAATTTTCTGCTATGGCCTAATATACCCCATTAGGGTGTGCCAGAATGTAACTTCCTTGATGGACCTCTTAAAATTGGAATTTTGAGTTCCGCTTTTAACAGGAGTTTTGTTTGGCATTGAAATAAATATTGAAATTTTGAAATTTCAGCAAAAATGCCTAAACAAAACTCCTGTTAAAAAATTTTATGAAAATCAAATTAATCCCTGAGGCACAAAATATGTCAGGAAATGCCCAAACACAACTCCTGTTAAAAGCGGAACTCAAAATTCCAATTTTAAAAGGTCCATCAAGGAAGATACATTTTGGCACACCCTAATATATATATATATACACTTCGTATGCTTGAGATTTACAAATGTACAACGAAATGTGGTAAACTAATATTTGTTGGCATTTTAAATATTTAAAGTTACATCGTGATCATTTTCAAAAATTATAGTTTAATATTTATAGAAAAAAATTATGACTAGAAATATTGAAATTTTGAAATTTCAGCAAAAATGCCTAAACAAAACTCCTGTTAAAAAATTTTATGAAAATCAAATTAATCCCTGAGGCACAAAATATGTCAGGAAATGCCCAAACACAACTCCTATTAAAAGCGGAACTCAAAATTCCAATTTTAAGAGGTCCATCAAGGAAGTTACATTTTGGCATACCCTAATGCCCCCATACATCATTTTTCGATCAAAAGTAGTGTTTAAAGTCTCAGACAGAGGGCGCATGATCGCTTGATTATCTCCTTATAAAAGAGTTAAGTTGTAAAATAAAAATAGTACTTTTATTTTTCTACGAAGCTTATTTAATATAAATTTTTAGTTTAATAAATTTCTGAACCAGTTTTGTTTCATCAAACAAAAAATTGAAAAATTACAATAAATCATTTTTATCCTTATTTATAGCCTGATGAAAATTTGCCGTATCAAAAATTTTTCACGGATCAATAACATAATTTTGAAGTGTCTTTATTGCTTTTAGATATATTCTCGTTAAAGTGTGAAATCAAATTTTATTATTATTTTATTATTATTTTTTTGCTTATTATATTTTCTTGCTTATTGTATTCGCAATGAAGATTACTATTGTTATTATTCAAGTCTGGAGTCTAGTGTAACTAATATGTAATATACAGCAACGTAATGTAATGTAATCTAATGTAAGCGTATACATAGAACATAGACTTACGCTGTATGTAGTCGTAGTTGTGTGTAATATGTGTATGACTACTGTACTATTATGTCACAACAGCTGAGTCTAAGCAAGGTAGAAGCAGGCCGTGAACCCAAGAATAAGTAGGCACGTTGCTTTTAGCACACGTGACTTTGCTGTTATGTACTCTATAACCATTCTCAAGCCGCATAATTTATATTCTTACCTACCTACCTATTTTTCTTCTCTATCGTTCTCTATTTTTTTCTTTTGTTTACTCATTAACACGTCTTCCGATACTTTATTTATTCTAATTGAAGTTATTTATTTATTTATTTTAGCAACTTAGTTTCAAATAAATTTATATTTTGACCTACGAGACAATTGGCTTCTGCTTATTTTTTAATTCTGGTATATGTTAGATTACACTGAATAAAAAATTGCTTCGGTGGAATTTTTTCTCGCGATGTTTACTTTGGTTGAGTAGGTCGGGAAGTCGATGCAGCTGTGGGCTTAGGGGCTTATCTTTTATAAATTTCAAGCCTCAGTTTTGTTTCCTGTTAAAAAGGCACACGTGTATGATATATAAATGCGGTTAATATTTTTTTTTAAGGAGACTCTTGAAAATATTGTTCTAAGAATTATTTTATTTTTAAAAAAATTAGGGCAGAAATTTACTCGTAATTTAAAATTCATGCTAAAAAAAATATTTTTGATAAACTTAGCCTTGAAATTTAAATCAATAGTTATTTTAAGGCAAAAATAGAAGAGAGTGACAAAAAATTTTGTCACATAAATTTTTTTAATAACCACCCTACCCGCCTGAAAAAATAATGTGACAAAAATAAAACACAATTTTATAACTTTGAAGAAAATTAACATATTTGAAAAAATTTCTAAAACAATCATCAGTTATTGTGTGATTAATTTTTTTTTTATTTTCTTGCAATAATATTAAAAATTTTAACGAACACAATTTATTAATTATTTTGGTTAAAAATTTATCGCCGAAAAAATTAAAAGCTCGCAATTTTTATCTCTTGAAAATTCCAAGTTAAAATTCGTGAAAATATAAATATATAAATAGTTTAATGATTATAAATGATAATTTCTTGGAAAAATTCAGAGAAATTTGAATTTTGATTCTCAAACCTTCCTGAAAGTTTTCGAATTAAAATTTTTTGATTTATTTATAAATTGCGACCACTCAAATAAATAAATAAATACTTAAATAGTTAATATAAATTATATTAAGAGATTACTATTACTTATAAATAAGCTTATAAGCGCGGTTATATTTAGAAAAGTATTTGTAAACATGCACGAACCGGTTTGTATCTATTCTACAACAGTTACGTGACATAATAGCATTCTTATATCAACGTACATTATCATTATTACCTTTACCTATTTTTATATATTTGCTACAATCGAGCGAAATGACTTTACATTATTGAACTGTTGATAGATAACTTTGTAATTCAATTTATACTTACATATATTGCTATCCCTAACTAATTACACTTTATTTCAATTTACCGTTTGGTACTTATTAGAAATGTTTCATTTTAAGGAACAGTTAATTAAAATATTTCTTTTCATTTTATTGACACAATTATATTTTCGTGATTTTTTTAATTTTAATTATCGCGTAGATACACCTGAATTTATTTTCAATGAAACAATTCAATATTAACGGAATTATAAAGCTGATTTTTTTACGAGAAGTACAGATCGTCTAATAAAATTTTGCAATACATAACTTTATTATTTCACATTACATTTATTGATCAATTACTACTTTGAAAGAATTAAGAACTCAAACCATTATCACATAAATTTAACAAATCATTATCTAATTACTCAATGCATATTATCAAATAAATGCTCATAAATAATAATAATAATAATAATAACTAATAAAATACATTCTTAGCAATTTTCTTAAATGCAATTTTGGTATTAATTTAATGTCTCAAATATACAATTACTTTATCCTGTATAAAAATTTTAATCGACTAATTTGAAAAGGATCAAAAAATTTGAAAATTAATCAATGGCCTGCCATTGACAAAAATAATTATTTTATAATCATGTGCAGAATGCAAATGAATTAACAATCTAATTAGCAGCAACATTTACGTCGATTTTTTCTTGAAGAAAGATCAGGGTAGCCCTCTGGTGAATCAATTTTTTCGTATTCTGAAAAATCAGAAATTACAATAATTATTAATTAAAATTAAAATACTGATAAAAAATTAAATTGATTTGAGAGAAAAAATTTTGAACAAAAAAAAACTATTTTTAAGTTAGGTAAATTTCTACTTCAATAATATAAAATTCTTCAAAATAATTTTCTTGATTTTTTTTTTCAAATTAATTAAATTTTTCTATAAAAGAGTTTATCTTACAAAAATACTGTCAGATTTAGAATTATTATATTGTTTTAAATTGAATGAAAACTTATTTAATTTTATTTTTAAGCTTAAAAAAAAATTAATTGTAACCATTTATAAAATGTATCTATTTTTTTTTTTAATTTTACATATTGTGAAAACATGAATTTAATGATCAATTATGTATGGTATATCAAGAAAATTTTTTCCTAAAGTTATAATTAATATCAATAAATAAAATTTAATTCAAGAATATAAAATTCTTCAATATAAGTTCTTGATTTAATTTTTTTGTCACGAAAATACTATCAATTTTATAAGTACTGATCTAAAATTAATGAAAAATATATCAAGTTAAATTTTTGAGCTACAAAAAACTATTTTTTTTTTTTAATTTAAGAGATTATAATTTTTTCATAATTCATAAAAACTGAATATTAGATTTAGATAAAAAAAAGAGGAGAAACGTAAAAATAAATAAAACTCTAAAGGAGTGATTAATGGATATAAAATGTATATGAAATAAAAAATGTTCTAACCTTTGCGATGTGACTTTTTCTTATGGCGCTGGCCCTTGGCAGCGATGGCTGCGGCACGTGCTGCGGCGATTTTTTTTCCACCACGCTTGCGGATCGAACATTTGTTACATTTTAACAATTCTGAATCATCGGACTCAGTATCACAATCATCGGTGTCAGAGAATTCTGAGGAACTGTCGCTCGAATCAGAGTAGGTGCCAGAAGATTTGGTGGAAGTGTCGGATTTAGACGGCGATTCCGTGGAGTCTGTTGTGATATCTGAAGATTCCGTGTATGAATCATTGCTGCTGGTAAAATCTGTAGAGCTTAAATCCTCGGCAGCTGCTCCACAGCAACATCCTTTTTCTTTAACTTTTTTCTTATTAGCCGGTGTACTTTTTTTGCTGATGATTGTTGCCTTTTTGGTGCTCGGTTTAGCTGTCTTTGCCTGAGCCTTGGCTTTTGCCTTTGCTGGCGCCATTATTCTGTAATATAAATATATACTTAGTTTTTTAAGCTGAGCTTTGGTAAAAGTTCTACGTAATAAATTAGTCGAGTATATTTAAATCAGCATTGCAAGCTATTAACAAAAATTAAATGATAAAAAAAAAGTTATTTTTCTAGATTAATAAAAATAAATTATACTTTTCTAGTCGAGAAATTTTTTAAATTGTTAAATAATTTTTATAACAAATTGATATGAGTTCAATTTAAAAATGAATTTTTAATTTAGACGCCGTAAAATTTTGAGTTAGTCTTCTCACTTTTAATACTTTAAGAAATTTTTTTATTTCAAAAGATAGAGCAGATATTTTTCTTTTAAGTAAGCGTGGAAATTATATTTTGAATAAAAGCTTACATACAGTAGCGCTCAAAAGTATTTTTAAAAATATATTTAATAGTTTAATTAAAAATAAATATGAAACACATAAATCATTTATTTATTTTTTCAACAGCTTTTAAATAATCTAACGCCTAATATTGTCAAAATATTTTTGAGCGCTACTGTTATGTATGTAAAGAGAATTATCGGTTAATTTTCTATCATATTTCCGTTTTACGGTGTTCGGGATAAGTTGTGATGCTAAAAAATTTTATAAATTTTTGAAAAATGAAAACTTTTTAAAATAAAGTTAATCTTTTAACAAATTTGTCTTAGTATTTCTTCACAACCAAAAATAACTTAAAAAATATTATCAATTGATTTAAAAAATTAAAGAAAAATTAAGGTGAATTGAAACTGCAATTTATATGTAAATTGCAAAAAAAAATTCTAAAAATCACTGACCGTTAAAACGTTATTACCATAATAACAAAATGTATATCTTATCAGAAGAAAGTTCTTATTTAATATTAAAAAATTAATAAAAAAGAAATTATTATTTGTGTTAAAAATAATTTAACACCAGATTTTATAATTATAAAGCACAAAAAATTTTTATGTTAAACTACTAATTACATATTATTATTATTATGTATTAATTTAATTAATAAATCAACTACGCACTTATCTTACCCCAAAAAACGACGTTTCACGTTGAAAATAAATAAATTTCTACAATACTTTACTTCCAATAATTATATTTGATCAATCGATGATTAAGATGATGATGATGATGATTGGTTAATAAATTATTTTAAAAAATGCAGTGCAATAAATATTAATAAAAAACGTGACACAAAATGAATAATTAACTATGGCGTCCGCAGGTGTATGTAAAAAGAGCGTCGGCACGAACATAAAGTGTAGTACAACGTATTGATAACAATTATGATGTTTGCAAGTGGTAAGTTGAAATAAAGCTAAAACTTTGTCACCGGTCAACTGATGACTCACACCTTCGGCTTTTGGTTTCGAGTATATAAGTATTAGTACGAATAATGAAATAAGTAATATATTTCTTTTAGCATTATTTTTCTAACTGCGTTTTTTCCTTGGACAATTTTCGCGGTTATTTTTAAATTGATTTTTTCGTTTAATTATTCAAAAGTTTACCGAAAAAATTTTTTCAATTAAAAAATGAATAATTTATTGATAGGTATAAAATAATATGTGATTAAGTACAAATTAATTACATGAATTAAAATAAATCAATAAAATAATAAATAATAAGAATAAAAAATGTACATATCTCACTAAACAATTAAGGTGTGATAAAATGCATAAATAATAAAGAACAAATGAGAGAGAAATTGTTGCTGGTATTATTTTAATTTGTATTGTAAATCATTATTGAACTGGAATAGTAGATCTTAATCATAAATGACATACAACCTCGGCGCTTAAAAAAACCGTTATTTAACTCGTCTAATCATAATCAGCAACAATACAGACTATTTAAATTAAATAGTGTATAGTATATATTATTAAGCTTACATTCCGTAGATTATAAACTATAAAATAAAATTATTACTATCTGTAGGTTAGTTATCATTACCAATGTAAATAACTTGTTTATGTGTATACATTACTTCATACTTAGTAATCACTTGGTATTTTTTTGTTACGTAAAATATTTACCGTCTACATAATAGATTTTTTATTCGATAATTAATTGACGAGTCATTGATATAAAAGCGTGTCGTTAATTTAATTGTCGTAAGTAATTAAATTGTCTTTTCATTGAAAAAATGTGATTTTTGATACTGGAGATTCTGAGTGATTTGTTGTTGCAAATTTTTCAATTTGCAATTATAAGATTTATAGGTTGAAATTTGAATGTTTGTGTACAGAAAAAAAATTAACTTGAATCAAAAAAATAATTTTGAAGAATTTTATCGTCTTGATTTGAGTAGATAAATTCTTTAACTAATTTTTTCTTGGTTTAAGTAAATTTTACTTGATTCAAAAATTTTTCGTCTTGATTCAAGACAGTGAAAGTCTTGAAAATTATTTTCTTGGTATTGGAATTTTTCTCTTGATTAAACTTCATTTTTTTTGTTCATTAAGAGGAATATTTGCTGATTTATTTTAGTTAAGGGGGAACACCACTATGACGATAAAAAAAAGACGTGATTTTCGGGAATTTTTTTGACAGAGAAAATAAAGGAATTTGGGGATCGGATTTTTTTTATTTTATCAAGGGAACATTAAAGATTATTACCCTACATTTTTATTAAAAAATATTAAATTATTACAAAGTTATTAACAATCTCGTAGAGCACTAGAAAAAATTTCCCCCTCCATGGTCGGTTCGATAACTCAAAAAC